CGGAGAAGCGCCCGGGCGGGCCCCCCTCTTCTCCCGCACTCACTGATCTCCGCGGGGATGGCCAGGTGCAGCTCCTTCATCGTGTCCTGGCTCCAGTCGGTGAGCAGCGAGCCCGACACGGGGATGTCGCCCACCCACCAGGACTTGAGGTTCACGTGATGGCGGTAGAAGGAGAACTTCTCCGAGAAGTTGCTGTGGCAGTGCAGGCAGCCGCGGGCCAGCGCCGCCGTCAGGCCCAGGCACAGTAGCAGGGCCATGGCCCGCCGCCCGCCGCCCGCCGCCCTCCAACCAACGGCGCCTCCCGTGCCACTCCCCCGGCTCAGGCCCCGCCCCCTCAACGGACAACTGCTGGCCCCGCCCACGAGCCGCCCCTCCCAGGGGAAGCTTCAGCCCCGCCCTCAGGCCGCGCCCCACGCATGCGCCCACGGCACGCGCTAGCACCTCCTTCCGGGCTGGCCCGGGCTGGAGGACCGGCTCCGCGTTGCCGGCACTGCGCAAGCTCCGCCCTAGGCCTGGAGCCGCCGGCACCAGCCAATGGTGTCCCGGCCCGTTTCCGGTTGCCAGGCAACAGAGAGCGCGGCTGCGGGGAGCGCCCCGCCGTTCTAGACCTCGCCCCCCCGCCCCGGCTCCGCTTCCGGGGAGGCCCAGGCCGGTAGCGGAAGTACATCTGTCTGGGCGGGGTGACGGGGGCGGGCGGTGCGCTCTGTTGCTCCACGGCTGCGGAGGGGAGCGGGCGGTGGGCGCCGGACGCCGGACAGCCGCGAGCGCCGCCCGGCCAGTTGGGCGTGAGACCGCAGGTGGGTCCTCTGAGGGGCGGCCGCGGGCGGCGGGGAGGCCGAGTCGCTCGGGAGGGGCGAACGCGGGCGGCGGGGAGGCCGGGTCGCTCGGGAGGGGCGAACGCGGGCGGCGGGGAGGCCGGGTCCCTCGGGAGGGGCGAACGCGGGCGGCGGGGAGGCCGGGTCGCTCGGGAGGGGCGAACGCGGGCGGCGGGGAGGCCGGGTCCCTCTGGAAGGGCGAGCGGGCGGCGGGGAGGCCGGATCCCTCTGAGGGGCGACCGCGGGCGGCGGGGAGGCCGGATCTCTCCCAAGGGGCAGATGCGCTTTCTGGTTTTGGACTTGGTTCTGTGACACATGGCCCCATCCAACCGCTTCCTTCTTCCCGCCTCCACCACACATAAAGTTTGGGGCTCTTAGCCCATTTTACAGGCTCAGCCTGGAGTGATAGCAAAGGTCACACCCCTGGCCAACACCAGGGCAGTGCACTGCAGCCTCCCCCAAGGTCCCCAGTTGACATGCTAAGGACTAATTGTGTCCCCGCGTGTTTGTGGTCACCTGTCAGGGTCCGTTCTCAGAACGCACTGAACCAGTCTAGTGGTTACGGGTGAGAACAGAGCAAGTGGATGTCCTGCTTGCCCCTCCACTCCCCCCTGCAGGCACCCACCTCCTGCAGCACCCTGCTCGGGCCGACTCCCGCCGTGGCATTCCCTCTCACTCACCCCAGCAGAGCTGAGTTGGCGGGTGCCACAGCTGAAGGCCACGTGTGGCGAGAGCCCTTTAAAACGGGCCTTGTCCAAATTGGGATGTGCTGTGGGCACCACATACACACCAAGTCCCAGACACAGAGCGTGTCTCTTTTTTCAAAAAAAAAAAAAAAAAGGCAAAATGTCCATAACGTTTTCTATATCCGCTAGGTGTTGAAATGATATTTTGGCGTTCCTGGGTAAAATATGATACAGTATTAGTAGTACCCTCACCTGTTTCTTTGCACTTCTTCGCTTTTTAGCAAAGCTACTGGAAAGTTTGAAATCTCGCCCATGGCGCATGTTATATTCCTAGTGTCTTCTGTGACGTTCTTTCCACAAATGTCAGTCCAGTTCCTGATTTCACAGGATTCATTGTTTTCTGTGGCTTTAGTTAATTCTTAAATGGGGTAAGCTACTCAAGGATTTAACCAAATGCTTGGTGTATTGTAATTGAATTAGGGTTGGTTATAATTTTGTTTAAATTGAGGTTCAGAGCAAAACGGAGTGGAAGGTGGAGTTCCCCCAGACCCCCTCTCTCTGTAAATGCACAGCCTCCCCCATGACCAGCATCCCCGCCAGAGCCCGATGTTTGTGACAGCTGACGGACCAACACTGGGACATTATGAACGACAGGCCGCAGGTGACACCAGGGCTCACTGTCAGTGCCCCGCACACCCTGTGGGTTTGGACGAATGTCACGGGCGGCGATCCACCATCACAGCGTGGCACAGAGCAGTTCCTGGCCCTGCTGACCCTCCGTGCTCCGCCCAGTCACCCTCCCCCACCCCGGCCACCGCAGATCCTCGTTCCGCCTCCGCGGTTCTGCGGTTTCCAGGACGTCCTAGACCCGGAACCACACGGTGTGCGGCCTTCTCAGCCCGGCTGCTCTCACCCAGGGACGTGCCGCTGAGGCTCCTCCGTGTCTCTGCCTGGCTCGATAGTTTTTATTTGAACCTCCCTCCAGGGAGAGCACGTCCTTTTCATCTTTACATCTCTCAAAAGCTGATGAGCACAGTGTTTGTGTACCAGGCGCCCCAAGTAACCTGGCGAGTTGAATTCTAGGTACACCTCCCTTCTCTCTCTCTCTCTCTCTTTCAGCAGAAGCAAAAGTGGTTATTTTACTTCCTCAGGGAGTTCTCAGAAATGCTAGTCCAGTTCCTGAACTTTTTTTTCTAAACAGTTTTAGTCCGTTTGTTTCGTATGTACAGACGCTCCCAAGCCAAGACAGCTCAGTGAAAAGTCAGCTATTAATCATATTTCCGGTGCTCCAGTGCTTCGTAAAATGGAGCTTTAACAAAAATTCCCCAAGCAGCTGGCTCAGAGCTTGGGCTTTTACTCGGGGAAGTTTTAGATGTGCCCCAGCTGGAGAGCCCTGTTCCTGATTTCCTAGAATTTTGAGGTTCAGATTGCTTAAGCAAAAAAGGCAAATCCAGCTTCAGAAACCAGATTCTGGGAAGGAGACAGGCGCTTCTGCGTCTCCTGAGTCCAAAATAAGACATCTGTGACGGGGTTACTCTGTGCGGGGGCGTCCCGGGCACTGTGGGAGATGAGCAGCCTCCGCGGCCCCGTGTGCTCGATGCCAGGAGCACCCCAGGGGTCCCCAGACGTGGCCCAGCTTCTCTGGGGGCAGAGTGGCCCCAGGGAGACCTCCAGCGGAGCTGGGCACTGGGCACAGCACCCTGGAGAGAGTGCAGTCCGTGAGTGGACGGGCCTGGCCTGCTGTGGATGCGCAATGTCCCCTTCAGACAAGGGTCTTTGCAGAGTCAAGTGCAGGTCCTGAGCATCCTGTTGCTAAAAGGAAGCTTGGACAGCCAGTGGGGGAGTCCGTGTTTGGACGGCAGTGAGGGGCTCTGCTTCTCATGCCCTGCCCTTCCTGACGTGCAGGCCTCTGCTTGGTGAAACGGGCGGGGGCCTCGCGAAGAGGCGCAGCTCCCAAGCTGACGCCGGCATCCCTGCCAGCTCGCTGGCTGTCCCCCATGTGACGTGGTTTTGTCAAACAGTATTTCAGTATTTGTCCCCGTGGTGGAGGAGGCACAGGGGGAGGCGTAGAGTCTGTGTGGGCCTGCGTGCACCCAGCGCTGCCTCCGCCCTGGTGCGGCACAGGTGGGAGGCACAGGACACCTGGGCTCGCATCCAGGCCCCCCTCCTATTTGCTGTACGCTCTGACTCTGACGTCCTTCCCGCCTCTCCCGGCTTCTGGGGGTCCCAGGTAATCCTAGGCGCCCCTCAGCTTGTAGACCTGTCACCCCCTCTCTGCCGCTGTGGTCGCATGGCCCACTTCTCCGTGTGTCCGCGTCCAGATTTCCCTGTTCTTATAAGGATGCTTGTCATCGGCTGGGACCACCCTATCCAGTGTGACCTCATCTTTATATCTGCAAAGACCCTATTTCCAAAGAGGGTTCCATTCACAGGTGCCGGTGGTATGTTTTGGGGGACACGATTCAACCCATAACAGGCGGATGGGGAGTGACTGCTGATGGGCACAGGGTTTTTTTTGAGGTGATGAGAATGTTCTAGAATTGTGGTGATGTTTGCCCTACTCTGATTTTACTAAAAGCCATTGAATTGTATACTTTAAAATTGTATACTATTTACAGTATGTGAATTATATCACAATTGATTATAAAATAAAAGGGTTGTCATGAGGGCTGAAGTATGCAGAACCCCTTGATAGCACCTGGCCTGGTGTGGTCTCAGCAAACCACTTCCTGCCTTCCTACAAAACAAATTGGGGAACTTCACCCCAGAAGCAAAGACATGAGGGCCAAGTGCCAACAGAACGCCGCACCCCGTGGTGGGGGGCTGGAGCCACCTTCCTGTGAGTCCTGCAGGACGGCAGGTGGCTTCCTGCCCAGGGAGCAGTGCTGATATTTAAAAATCAACGTTTAGATGGTGGAAGACACTCTGGGGTGCGGCCTTCTTGGGCAGGACTGATCCTTGGGCTTTGAGCATCTTCTAGCCAAACACTCGGCTGCCCGGCCGGGAGCCAGGGTCTGCATGCTGGTCTAGAACACATGGGGCCGACCTGTGTGGTTGGGGCCTGTCCGTCTAGGCCCCCCGCTCCAGCGCAGTGTCCCTGGAGCGGGGCCGCGGCCGCGGCTGAGGCAGGATGTGGAGGCACCGGAAGGAAGTGGTAGGCGCCTCGCTGCACCTCCCCGGGAGGGTCATGCAAGGCAGCTGCTTGGAGAAACTGTGTTTTGTTTGGTTTTCAGAAAAAGAGAGGGGGAAGAGGCTGTGTGTTGGGGCTGGGGAGTTTTGTCATCTTACCTTCATCAGTCTAGAAGTTTCTAAGTACCGCCCACCTTCGTCTGAGGGAAGAACCTGGGCCACCAGCGGAGCCCTTAGCGTTGAACCCCCAGAAGCCCGTCCCACCTTCCCCTGCGCCGTCCTCGGATGTGTCTGGGGAGAGCCAGAAACCAGGGCTGGGGGCAGGCGATGGGGGGTCGCCTCCTTCGGCGCTTCTCAAGGCAAAGGCACGCTGAGGTGGCTGGCCACCCCTCGGCCGTGGGGCGCGTGTGTCCCCATAGAAAGCCCTTTGCATGTGAGGGGAATTCTAACCATCAGGGGAGTTTTGCAGAAAATCCTCGCACATTCTGGGAGGAGACAGAGAGCGAGCATGAGGCCTGTGAGCCCTCCCCCCATCTTCCAGAACTGGCCTGGTGCGCGTCTGGTCCCTGCCATGGAGGCACGCGGACCCTGTCGTGCCCCTGAGGCCCCCTCCCATCCCACACGGCCCGCTTCTGTGCGGGTCGCAGGTCCCCAGGTGACGTGGTGGCAGGCCAAGCT